GGGTGAGCCTTTGTTATGGAGAGGTACGGTTTGTGACTCAACCTGTGACAAGGAGACAACAACTAAACATGGTAAACCTGTAATAGTTGTCTGTCAAATAAGATTGGCCAAATAAGTGTAGTTAAATCTTTTTTGCATGGTAATCACATCTTTCCAATGATTACTCAGTTTGTAACCGTCATCACGGTTGAAATTATGTCTGTGTTTGTATATTTGTATGGCTTCGTGTACAAACCTTTGATGGTAGCCAGGAGGTTTGCAGAGAACCTTGGTCTCGGAAAAGACAATTTCATGAGAGCCCACCGAGTTGTAGCAATGATCGGCAACGGCCGAAGAATCAGTTCTGCCGTGTTTCAGATCTGACTTGTGCTCGTGGACACGATCAGAAACATGACGTTTCGTTTCTCCAATGTCGCAATCACCACAAATGCAACTCAATTTGTAAACTCCAGGATACTGTAAGTCAGGAACGACATCCTTCACACATGGAATCAGATCACGGATTTTAGCACTTCACTGAATCGGACTTGATCTTATGTTTGTTTAGAATTTTTGGAGATCTTTTTGGTCACGGCCTGCTATGTATGGTACGTGATAGTTTTGGTCGGAGTTTCATGTGGCTGTTTCTGTGTGGTGGGAGAAACAGCTTGGCGGATAGTGCGGTCAGAGTATCCGTTCATCCTGAGGGCCCGATGTACATGTCTTAATTCACCGGCCAGGTGGTGTTGGGTCAGAAATGCCATGGGCTTTGTGGTAAAGCGTTTGATGAGAGAATTCTTTTGAGATGGTGGTGGTGGGAATCCGGTTTCAAGTGGAATCTGTGTGGATGGCTTTCCTGTAGACATAATGTCCCAAGGATCCGTCAGGCCTCCTCTCAAACAGGAATATCCAAGAATGGTAGTTTACCGTCTTTCTTCTCCACTTCCATTGGAATCTATGGATGGTGGTCTAGAATTGATGTGGTCCAAGAAGTTGTTCAAATGCTGGGAGGCCATGTGGCCAGATGACGAAAGTGTCATCCACATACCTCTTCCACAGAGAAGGATGCTGGGTGGATGTCTGGATGGCGTCTGATTCAATCTTTTCCATGAACATGTTGGCTATAACTGGTGACAAGGGGGAGCCCATAGGGGTACCCTCATTCTGTTTGTAGAAGGTGCCATTCCAGGTAAAATAAGTGTTGGTGAGGCAATGCCTAACCAGCGCAGGTACATCAGAATTCAATCCATGTTGGACTAAGTCCTCAATTATTGTTAGGGTGTCCGGTACTGGGACTTTGGTAAACAAAGATACTACATCAAAGCTGACGAGGATGTCATCAG